TTTGAACAAGCTGGTCATGGACCATACATCTCTCTTTTTCACTAGGAAGCCATTTCAAAGGTGGTCATAACCTTTCTTCTTCCTCCTCCTTCGTCTATACTCCCATGGCTTTCTCAACTCAACTCTTCAAATGAATTTATTGTAAAACCTAAGACTTTGAATATTTCAAGGAAGAAAAGTAGAGAAGACTTGGACCTGACCAGGAAACAATGATCCATGAGTTAACAAAACTAGCTCCCGGGATGTGGCTGTTTCCGAAAAATTCCGAGCATTGTTGTATCTACAGAGTCCCTGAAAGACTGCGTAGAGTAAATCCAGAAGCATATACACCTCAATTACTTCTCATTGGACCTCTTCACCATTCTTTAAAATCTCAAGCTCTCAAGTCTCTTGGAGATATCACATACACAAAGTCGATGGGCTACTTAAACATGGAGGAACATAAGAAGATTTACTTAGTGGAATTCGCTCAAAGGGTTGATGGGAAAGAAACCATTGATGGATTCAAGAGACTAATCGAAGAAGACGAAGAGATAATAAGGGCAAGCTATTCGGAATCAACGGCTTGGATTGAATCTTTAGAGTTTGTGAAAATGATCTTACACGACTCTGTTTTTATACTAGAGTTCCTTTTAAGGACTTACCACAAAGGAGCAAGCATTGAGAAAACAGAGGATATTTTAATGGACGAGCCATGTCTTCAAAACACGGTCCACGAAGACCTCACATTGCTTGAGAATCAGCTTCCTTACTTCATCTTTGAAAAACTCTTCGATCCTGTAATCAAAAGACTCCACCCGAACATGACATTCCGCAAATTAATCATCACTTACTTTGGACTCCAAGGTAAAATCGGAAACAACTCCAAGTTCAAACATTTCACAGATCTATTTAGGTGTGTCAGAATGGAGACAATAGGGTCACGGGGATCAGAGATGGATTCAAGGAATAAAGGAGATGGGTTTAAGAACATCGAACAAATGTATAACGCGGATAAGCTAGATAGTGTCGGAGTGAAATTCGAAGCCGTNGAAGATGAGTTTTCGTTGGAGGTTGGATTTGTGAATGGTTGTTTGAAGATACCATGTTTTTGGGTTCGTGATGATGTGGAGATGAAATTGAGAAACATAATGGCTCTTGAGCAATGTCATTATCCTTTCAACGCTTATGTATGTAACTACGTCATGTTCTTGGATTTCCTCGTGGACACCGATAAAGACGTTGACTTGCTTGTCGAAAATGGTAATCTTTAACTTTCACAATTTTTGGTTAAGTTATTTCAGAACGGATATGTTATCTTGGTTTTGCAAAATTTATGTTAGCG